TCCTTTGGCTCCAGTGTCTGTACTTCTTGTTGTGAGTCAGTATTCACTATTTCTCCTTCCTCAGAGTGATACATTGTTAATTCCATTGATTTGGCACCTTCCCCTTCTTCTTTTGAAGCACCCGGTTCTTCCTCTTGAAGCACACTTCTGAATTTTTCATAGAACTCTTGTGCCTTAAAAATCGAGTCCAATTTATATCTTGTGGAGTTCCAAGTGGAGAATATTTCTTCTGGCGTTAGCCACCTAAACATAATCTTTTTCTTAATCAACTTTGTAGTAAGGAGTAAGTATTTCTTTCGTCTTTCTCTAATCCTCCATGGTATTTGCCAGATCGCCATCACCTCATGGCGATCATCCTCCTTTAAAGGTTTCTCATGTATGGCCCTCAAAACATTGTCTCTTATAGACCTTAGAGCAAATTTGACACGAACTTCCCTCGGAAGTTTGTTTTTTCTGGCATAGGTCGAGTTAACTCTGTAAATAAGATCAATCCCAGCTCCAGTTTCTTCATTTTCTATTTCTAAAAGCTCTGCCAGGATGCCAATCATTAACTCTTGCAAATCTTCATTCTTTCCTTCGGGTATATTCTGAAATCTTAAGTAGTTAGATGCCTTCTCCATCTCTAGTATGACAAGCGAATCCCATAGTGACTTGTTTGTTTGCTTAATTAATTGTGTTTCTTTATCTACCATGTTTTTCTTTATCTGCAGCTTTTTCACGGGTAGTATTGAAGAAAAAAAGATAAAAATGCTCACCCAGCAGGTCTGATGAACTTCTAGCTAATCTTCTATGCTATTCTCCAGTTTTCAATGATTTGCAGGGAGCTGTTTATCTCTCCCCTGTACTGTTCGGTTGAGAAAAGCCTGAATTTCTCCCAGTAAATGCGGAGCTGCTGCCCCACACCAAGCAGAAGAATGCTCGGACAATCTAATCTTCGCCCCGGCAGGGCTTGGATGAGCCTCCCACGGCTCACTGCAGAACAGATACCGGCATGATAACGGGAGCCTCCACTCTTCACAGCCGTCTCGTCCCGACGCCAACCGGAAGTCCAGGAAGTAAAAGAATGGATAACTTTAAGAAACAAAAGAATTTTATATCTTGAAGGACATGATTTACAAATGGGATGGCATGCTTTTATGTGCTATGAGAAATGTAAGACACATGGTTATTTCCTAAATCATTATATTAGAAATTCATTGATGTCGGTCTGGGAAAAACTAAAGACTAAACTTTATACAAAGTTGCCGAGATGGCTTTCTCCTATGGAAGCTCTTGTATATCCAAATGCATTGAACTTTAATATGAATGTGAGATATGATGATATTTTGGATAATGATGGAAAATTGAAATCCAATCAAGAACTACAGGAATGGGGTATTGATCTTTCTTGGTGGCATAAGGTACAAATACAATTGAGATATACTAAAGATTATAGAATGCATGGTTTCCATAAGGAACAAACAACATTTGATCAAATAATTTTAAAATCAGATGAAAAAATTATCAAAAGATCATAGAATTTTCTTTTGGACATGAAAATGGAAGATGGACAAGTTAAGGAAACTATGATAACATGGGCAGAAAATTTTGGATATAATATTGAGTTACAGAAATGGCAAAAGCTGTGGGAAAGAAATATTAAGACAACCTTAGCAACTTCATATAAAGAAAATCTGTATAAAATGTTTTATAGATGGTATTTATCACCAAATAGACTAGCAAAAATGTTCCCAAATATGTCAAATAGATGTTGGAAATGTAAGCAAAAACCTGGTACTTTCTATCATATGTGGTGGACTTGTGTTAAGGCAAAAAAGTACTGGGTTAAAATACATAAATGGCTTGAGGAAATGCTACAAAAACCTTTAATTTTTAACCTGAAGTATTTCTATTAGACATCATTCCTGATGATTTTGATAAACAATGTATATATTTGATCTTACATGTAATTACTGCAGCAAGGATTGTATTTGCCCAACACCGGAGGAATGAAGAGCCACCTACTGAAGAGCTGATCTTAAAAAAGATTTTGGATTGCACAGAAATGGATAGATTGATTCTGTCTTTGAAGGAGAAGGAAGATACATACTTCTATCAACCTTGGAATTCCTTCTAGTATTGGTTAGAGAAATGGAACTATATGCAGAATTGAATATGATTATTGATTGTAAAAAAAAAAAAGTAAGATTTCAACCCAGTGTGTTTGATGACTCAGGAGTAATTGCTGTTTTAGTTTAGATTTGTAGAGAAAATAATAAAATTTGGAAAAAAAAGAAAAGAAGATGTCGGTTTGTTTTAGCCCCAAGATGTGAAGCAATTGTCTTTGAGCAACAGAAGAATATTTTGGAGCATGGTCCTTCTGAGGTCGGTAGTTTGATGAGTCGGATGACTCCATGTTGGTGTAGGATGGGGCAAACATCACTATATTTATTCGGTACGGTAACTTTAGAATGGGGTGAACATCCTCATCCATGTCTCGTACCATGATATAGTTGGAGTAGATACCGTGCACGCAGGCCAGACTGGTGAGAACGGTGCAGTCTCTAACCTCTGTGTACGTGGTATACAGTTAAGAAGACCTATGGGTCAGGCCTGCTGGCCTCCCATGTGGGGGGATGGTATCACAGTCTATCCCCAAATGAGGGAGGTGAGGCCAAGATTGTTAGGGAAGGTTTGCGGCATCAGTGGTGTTGAGCATACTGGTATAGACCCACTGGTTGGAGAAAGGTCTCAGATTGAGCGAGGGCACCCATCTCTCTTTGGTACCGTGAAAGAGTCTGAGTAGAACCCGTGCATGCAGGCTGGACTGGCAAAGACAACACAGTCTCACACTTGATTTGTATCTGTGCTCTAGTTAGGAGATCCTGTCAATCAGATGTGATGGGCTCCCCTGTGGGGAGATGATGTTGCAGTCTATCCTGGAATGGGAGAGGGTTTGCAGGGGAAGTTCGTGTGACCCATTTAGGGGTGGCATCTGTCAATGTTGAGGCACTTTGCAGGTTGTTGGGATCGTTCGTTCGTAGGGATGGGTAGGTCGTTCGTTGAACGGTTAGTGACCCATGAAGTACTCCTGGTGGTAAGGTTGGAAGGGGTGGTATTGACTCTGCCCATTTCATGGCCTCTTACAAGTTCACTTATGAGAGGGTCCCCATCCCATTTTGTGAGCAGTAAAGGCACGTTTTGTGGATTGAGTCCAGCTTCTCATCTGAAGCTGAGTGGAAGAGACTGGTGCCATCAAACAGCATGTTTTCCACCCTCTGCTTAGTCTCCTGGGGGGGATTGCCAGCTCAGAGCCACGCATGTCCCCTGAGGGTGATTGCACCAACAAACTCTCTTGTTATTTTTTGCGAGGATTCGACGACCGCCAAGTTTGGTTTCGGGTGCTTTAGCAGGAAGGGGATGTATTCTTCCCTGACCCTGTACATAGATTCATATCTCCTGGACGTCGGCTGAGGATGTGAAGGTAGGTCCCAGGGCTGCGTCATCGCCTGCTGCAGGGTAGTTATAAGTGGCAGAATGATAGAGGTCGATTGCTCCCCGCGGACGACGTCGTAAAACTTATCCGTTGACGGTCCCGGGTGCTGGGCAGCGTCGATGTCCAGGGACTGGACAAGCCTCGACATCAGCTCCGCGAAGGAGACGTGTGACTCATCGGGTGACGCAGGATCCTGGGATGTCACCACAATGTCCAGGGAGGTTGAGTCTACATCAGAGTCATCCGAATCAGCACCATAGTATGGTGGGGCAGAAGATGATGACTCCGCTGGTGAGAAGGAGCGGCTGCTTCTGCTTTGCGGGGATCGAGGTGGCACCCTCCTCGAATCCACAGACCGCAGTTGGGTGCGGGCCGGAGGTGAGGATCGCACCCTGGGAGTAGGGTAGTACCCCACAGAGAGCGGGTCTCCCCAAGGTTGGTAGTAGGGACGACGCCAACTCTCCGGGCATTGCTCTACCGAGCGGCTCCTCGGATTCCCTGGTGGGGACAGGCCAGCTTCTGTCTCCAATGTCACCGTGGGCATCGCTGTCAGTGACCTCTCTCTAGGAGGGGAGTCCTGGATTTCCCCATCCAAGATAGACCCTCATAGAGTTGGAAGGGGTGCAGGCGGGAGGTCGACCGCACATCGGGGAGACCCCTGAGGGGTGACCCGCATGGCCTCTTGAAGGATTGGTTCAGGCGGGGTTGATATCATAACCGCCACCGGTACCAAGGGTCCCGTCGGCTCTGAGTCCCGATGTCGGGAACGGTCCGTGGACTTAGCCTTCTTTGGAGGCTTAGAGGCCTTATCCTTTCTGGCCTTCTTATGGCCTGCCAGCTTCTCTTCGGCATGTTTCCGCTTCTCATGCCTCTTTTTTGGTGAGGCAGAGGGGGCCACCGAAGCGGACGCACCTTCATTCGAAGGGCGTGAGGGTGGAACCACAGAGGCGGAGCCAGGTTTTGGGATAGAGACGAGCGGGTCTGATTGCATCAGGGCCCTATCCCAAAGGAGCCTCCGAAGCCGGTTCTCGCGGTTCTTCCTAGCCTGCTTAGAGAAGGCTAGGCAATGAACGCACTTATCCATCCTATGCCCCTCCCCAAGGCAGAGGAGGCATAGGTTGTGCGGATCAGTAGGTGCCATTTTTGACCTGCAGTCCGCACATTTGCAGAAAGCCGCTCGCTGCGCCATCGCAGAAGAAAGAAGAAAAAGAGAGATAGTGCAGAGGGTAAATATATATTTTTGGTTTTTTTTTTGTTTGTTTGTTTGATAGATCGAAGAAGAAATAACAAGATAAAACAAACTCTTTATAGGCCACAAGGGGGAGGGGGAGCGGAGCTTCCCGTCAAAAACCGTTAGCTTTCAATCTTCCGGCCGCAGGCACTGCGCAGGCGCAGTACCCATACGTGTGATGCACAGAGGCCACGACGAAGAACTGCTGTGGGATGTTGTATTTATCTTTTCTCAAGGTTTGCTGCCAGCTGTGGGAATTTCATATATGTGCACATTGTAAAGACGTTATGTGACTATTCCAGAACTGCAAGGGTATGTAAAAGACTAATGGTAAAGGCCTGGGTCCTGGTGGAAGGGCTCGGGAGCTGCTGCTCCAGAAACCAGCCCATTTCAAGAGGAGTGTAAGTGTGAGGGCGAGCAGGAGCACCACTGGGAAGGGCTCCGTCCAATCCATCTCCTTTCAGTAAGTGGTTTTCCGCAGTGAACGTAATGAAGTTCTCTGTACCATCTGATCAAGGACACTCTCTGCTCACTGGAATGAACGGCACAGCTATTTCACGTGGTTGCCTCAGATACTGCCTCAAAATTGTCTGCAGTGAATCAGTAAACTATATAGTCAAACAGGTTTGAGTTTTTTGAACCGTATACAAAATGCAGGATAGGGTTCAAACTTTTCATTATACAACCCCCTGGGTAATAATTGAACAGTGAGTAGCAAGATAATTTTGAAAGTGCTGTTATTTATTTATTTATTTATTTATTTGAGACAGTCATAGGGAATATGTGACCCTCCAGATGTTGGTGGACTACCTCTCCCATCCTCCATCACCATTGGCTTTGCTGGTTAGTCTTGGTGGGAGATGCTTTTCAACAGCTCCTGGTAGCTACCATCCACACCATCAATGTGAGGAATACATGATTTGGGGTTACATTTAGTAAGGGTTTTTTTCCCCAAAAAAATAGAAGAAGAAAGGCACTGCTAGTTTCCTTATTAAATAAGAACTATCAATTACTTTGGACAACAGTTTCTTGTACCTTGGGTAATTTTCGGGCTCAGTTAGAGTGATTCGAACTGACATTTGGGAGTCTCCATTATCTGATTGGGAATCCCTGTTATGAGGTCTTCCTTAGAGATGCATTCTGAGATATGCTTAATGTTTACCTGTCCTGAAGAGGCACCTGAGTTGATTAACAATACAATTATTAAGTGAAGATGAAATATTTGTGTTTGGTTATGTTACAAATATTTGTACAAATATTTGTGTTTGGTTATGCTAGGCAGAGTTCCTTTTTGCATAGTGCCTATATACAGAGATACTCTGCTTGTCTTGACTGGCCTGTTTCTTAATCAAGTGCTGCTGGTGCATTTTCCCATTTGAGACTTGTGCCTGGGCTTTCCAGGAACCCCACAGTTTGGCCATGAGCATCACTGCAGAATCCCTGCTGGCATTAAAAAATAATAAGAGAGGCAGCTTTCTTTTGATAAACATCTCTCTGGAAAATTTGTCAGGATTGGATGCTGATAAAGGACAATATTTCTGAGGAATCCTTCTAAAGCAGGGGTGTCCAACTCACAGCCCAGGGACCCCATCTGACCCAGAAGGGCTATGAATGCAACCCAACAGGTGCAGGGTTGTGGTGCCAGCAGTGGGCAATGTTCAGAGGTGATGCCTGCAGGCAAAACCACCCTGGCATTGTTCCTCAGCTGCAGCAGGTTAACGTCCCCCCTCCATTTGGTTACATCTGCCAGCGGTCAAACTGTGAGTCGACAGATGTAGCCAAGGGTGCAAGTGATTTTTGCTCACAGAAAGGGAGCCTCATTCATCCCCCTTGCAGCAAGGTCCCTGTGTGTCAGCAAGTACCCCCCGCACATCGCTCACTTGAGGAAACTTGCAACATTTGGGGGAAGTAAAAGAAATTTCAAAAATTGTTGGGCAACCATGGGCAGCCCCTCCAATGTGCTGCTGGGGAATTTAGAAGGGGCCACTCATAACATTTCAGATGGGGCTTTGAATCCCACCTGAGGGAAGTTCCTCACTTGCGTGAGCAGGAAAGGTGAGAACCAGCTGCGCACTCAGTGGGAGGCTACAAAACCTAATGGATTCCTCCTCCGCCTGCCCATGTGCCTGGGGAAGCCTCTCACATGCACGCAAGTGGGCAGGGCTCTGGAGAATCAGCTGGGCAGCAGTGCCCAGTTGGGGACAGCATTCCCCCTACGCTGTAAAAAGGAGAATCATCCACATTGAGGAACCTCCTGCAATAAACCAATTAAGATTTCCTTTAGTTATTTCTATACTGCAAATCTAACTCTTCCCTAAAAGATGTGTTGGTCCTGTTTTTGTCCAAGACACTCTGGGGATGGGGGAGATAGGATGGATGGGGATGGATGGATGAAGATATCACTGTTCTACAGAAGAACTGAGATTTCAAATTTCAGTGAGGGTCTGCCTTGTTTCAAGACAGTGGTTTCCAGAACCAGAGATATGCAAGGCATTTCTTCTCCTGTGGCTGGCGAAGGCTGCTTGGAAACAGTGCCCGTCCTTGCAGAAATAGAAAATGACAATTCCACCCTTAAACTAAGCTGGGGTCCCTTTGAGATTCCATTGCACACGCCCCCAAGTGTTTCTCAAACTGTGGGCCAGGAAGACCCCCCCCCCCGGGCTCTCTCAGGAGAGCACACGCTGCCCAGTGCCTCTTGGCCTACACCACACTCACTCACTAGCAGGTGTGCAAATAAGAGGCGCTTGGCGAGCGAGGCTAATCTTTTACTTTGTTTTATTACTTTATTTTATTTTGAGCTGGTGATAAGAGAAGGGAGATAAAAGAAGGAAGCTGGAAATTGGCATAAAGGAAGCAAGAGGCTTTTTCCGGGGTCACAATCAGAGATGGTTTCTGAATTGATTCCTCTTGGTCGCAAGTTTATTTTGCAAGAACGCCTTCGATGTGAATCATTCCCCCACACATCAGTGCCACAGAATGATGGAAAATTGTAAGTAATCAGGTATGAGGTTAGCAAATGAATGCAAAGCAAAGGTGATTTTTCATGATGAACACAAAAGGAATGAGTACAAAAACAAACAGAGTAGTAAAATGTAAAAAACCAAAAATGGCACCTCAGTAGCACTTTCCCCACTGCATCCCCCCCCCCCCACAGGAACACAGCAATCACAAAGGATTAAATGAGCACAAGTGCAGTGCTATGTCTCATAGGTCTGTTACCTGGCATTTGGGTCAGGGCAAGCTTGTATAGGTCCACTTAGTAGAGTCTTCTTTGCCTTGACACAGAAAGAACAGAAAATGTTACCTTTCACATTGTTCTTTGGGGTGTCTTCAGGTCTACATGGAGATTTCCAATGACTGGGAAAGGCCTGGGTCTGGTGGATGGGTTTGGGAACAGAAACCACCCATTTTCCAAGCAAACATAATCATAAAGATAAAAAGTAAGAATATCAAAACAGGATCAATCCAACCCATTTTTTCCCCTCAAGCAATTTTATGTAGCAACCTTAGGGCAAGATTGTAAAATAGTATGTTGAAAGACATGGCCTGCCTTCAGAAATGAGCTATGTGCACCTTTCATACAGTTCCTTTAGACATGGTTGAGGTTTTGTCATGAGTGACTCATTAAACTATCAAGTTTAACAGAGTGTATCCCACTTTTCCCCTGGTTTTCTATCCCTTCCCCAGTTATTCAGGTTCATCCTTGATACTTTACACTCAATTTCTTGGCTGCATGTGGCATTTTCCTCAAGCAAAAGTTTTGCAAAACAGGTCTAAACTCTTTAATGCTTGCAGGACTAGCTGCAAAATCCAATTATTAAAAAAATCAATGTAATTGGGAATAAAAAGCAGTACTGTGAAATCCTTCTGGGTAATTATTGAACTGAAGTTAGTGAAAGATTTTTGAAAGAGTCAGGAAAATCTTGAATTCTTCTGTTGTACCTCTTAAATATAATGGTATTCACATAAGGAGTTCAGAGCTTATAGTTAATTTTGTACATTCTGTACTAGTTAATTTTGTACATTCTGTTAGTTCGATACATTTTATACTCTTCTTGAGTGAGTATTGAATGATACTTGGACACTCCTATCTTTCTCATGATTTGGATAGGAAGTGGAGGAGACATATTTGCAATTTTATTTATTTATGGCTTGGTCCTCCTCTGTGAGCCAAACATGTTTCGGGATTAATTAATTAATGTTTATTGAACCTGATTGTGGAATTTTCATCACAAAGTAATCTCTAAGTGAGGAATGACACTGATAAAACACAGTGAAAACGTCCATGGAGAGAACAGGGTGACCCAGATAAATGGCAATTTAGGATATAGAGCAATACAAGTTTAGTGGCACTGACTGTGCCAGAGAAGGGAGGGCGTTGCACAACCGCATGCCTGTGTCAAGAATACACCATCTCACGTTGCACCTATCACGCAGGTTAATGTCATACCATCAAGAGGGCAACCCTACCAGACCGTAAAATCCAGGCAGGCCCATAAGGTGCTCCATCAGGAATTCAGGCTTTAAGCTGTATAAAGTCACAAGCACTTATACCACAGGCTAGTAGTTAATGGGTAGTTTATGGGCAAATGGCAGGCGATGTAAAGCACACTGCAAAGGCCTGGACTTGAGGTTGCCAGGACTTGAATCACTGTGACCAGACTATCCTTGTCCAGCAATAGCTGTCAGTGGTGAACCAATCAAAGCCTGGTAAACCAATCCAACCCCAACCCTGATCCTGATCCTTACATTGCGGGTTTCCTCTTTGCTTATGACATAGTGACTGGGTTTGCAGGGCAGATGATACAAGTTATCTGTGAGTTAGCCAGTTATCTGAACCGCCCTGTTTCCCAGGGGTGGCTAATAAGCCAACTCAAGTGGCAAAGCCTTGTGGTTGGGTTTAGTAACCTCACTGTGGCTTAGAGTGTTGTCTGAACCTAGAAAACATGCTAAAGGCTGGGGAGCCCCTTGGTGAGAGCAGCCAAAAAGCATTCCCACTCTGGCCAAGGGGCTCTAGTCAGTGAAAGCCAGCAAAGTGCCCAAGTGGCTCTTGGCACAGCTGGCATCGGTTTCCCCTCATGCCCCTGGCAAGGCTGGGGGAGCTGGATTGCCCGCTCTGTATGGCTTCTGGGAAGCAGCCATGCACAGCAATGGAAAAGGGCTTTCCCCCATCTCACTGGGGGAGGCTGAGGAGAAGGCGATCCCCCAGCTTGTGCTCCTCCCCCATCTCCCCTGCCCTGCAGGCTTGTTGATGCCAGAAGAGCAGCCTGGAGGCTGTCAGGAGGAGGGGAGGAGGCAGTGCTCAGACAACTCCATGCTGGATTCTTAGTCAGGCACAGCAGGGGCCAGGCGTCTTCATGCCCGGGTTGGCTAGGCCGGCTCTCTGGGTTTAAGGTATAAGCCCTCCCCCACAATGTGGGTCAATCTGTATGGAGTATGGGATAGCAGGAAGTATGGTGTCAGATGGTGAATGGTCCTACCTTGCAGCAGAGACTGTACTGTCTCTTTTTCTCTCACGCACTTTCTTTATAGCATTGATTTGATTGCTTGATAACATACATACGGCAGCCCAAGAACAAATATGCTTAGCAGGGCAAATAAGATGAAATGTAGGGAAAAGCTACTCAGTGAACACTTCATTTTATAATACTTTAACCGTCATGCTCTCCCCCACAGTGTCGGCGACAGCTCAGTTTTCAGAATTCTTGGATGAAATGCATCATCTCTAAACACTTTTCAACCAGCTTCAGGCCTCTTTTGCAACTGAGACAGCTTCAGTCACCCAAATGGGCCACCCATGCTAAGAACTGGGCAGAACTGAGGCAAGCACCGGGCGATTTAGCCCTCATCCCAGTGACATGAATGGTTACCACTCAGCCCTATTGGGAGTGGCCATACGTTACATTTTTGGGCACTGGTGCGGTGATGGCCAACCCTGTCCTCTGTTCCAGTCTCCCCACCTCACTGACCAAGAGCTTTTTTGTTCTGAAGTTGGTAGACACAAGTGACAAGTTTTCTTCTCTGATGTTCCCCCACCAAGAGGATTGCGAGGCGCTCCGATGCAATTTCTCTACATGAAAAAATCAGCATCAAAATGTAAATTTGGCTCAGTATACACAAATGCAGAATGATGTACACTGGGGCAAAAATCCCAGCCTTGAAGCTAGCTGATAGGACCAGAACTGGCAGTGACTGATCAGAAAAGGGATCTTGGGGTTGCATGGACAGCTTGATGAAAACATAGCCCCAGTATGCAGCTGTTGTGAAAGGGGAAACTCTATGTTTGGGAAAGGCACTGAAAATAAAGCTGCATGTATACGAATCTGTTCTTACAGAAACCTGCCTTACACAAGTGTGACCACACTTAGAATGTTGTGCATAACATTTACCATTTACCACATCAGAGAAAGGACATTGCAGGGTTGGAAAAAGTGCAGAGAAGGGGGCTGGAGCAACTTCTCTATGAGGAAAGGTTAACAGCGGGGATGATTTAGTTTAGAAAAAAAGGTGTATGAGGGGAGACATGATGAAGATGTCCAGAATCATGAGTGGAGGAAGTTGATAAGGGGACATTTCTCTCTCTCCCCCATAGCACCTTGGGACATCCCATGAAATGGACTGGTAGGAGATTAAGGACATTTTCCTAAAGTACCTCTGCTCACAGTTAAACTACGGAATTCACTTCCATGAGATGTAGTGATGGCCAAACATTTAGATGGCATTTAGATTAGGCAAATGCAGAGGGTTGTCAAGGACTCCCAGTCCTGATGGGCATGTGCTGCCACCAATAGCAGAGGCCATATGCCTTGTGGGCACCAGTTGCTGTGGAAGCTGGGCAGGAGGAGGTTCATATCCTGCTTCTGGAACTCTGTGGGCAGTGGGCTGGCCACTGGGTCAAGAGAATGCTGTACTGGATGGGCCACTGGCTTTTAATTTTTTAAAAAATGTACTGACCAAATGATAAAAGCAGACGGACAAAAATAAACAATATAAAAGAACACAAATATTCTATCAGTATTGCATCAATTATAAATATAACAACAGAAAGAAAATAAAAAGTATCTTAGATAAGCATTGTGTACAAGGTTGTAAAGGTCTTTATCTGAGCCTAAAATGCTTAATATTATCTGTGATACAGTCATTGTTCTTTCTGGAGTTCTTTCTAGTATAAAGAGTGTGTTGTCTTGTGAGGGGATAGTATATTGCTTGTCTGCCCTATTCATGTGAAGAATAAAATCATGCCAGATTGCACAGAATGAATCGTGTTTACTTGGGCCCTGAGTGCCGGGCAGGCGCTGCGGACGACAATGGAGCACTCGGCAGGAATCCAGTCCAAGGTGCTATGCACCAGTGACTGCTGTCTGGCCAGCTGCACCGGACAGGGAAGGTTGCCGCTTGTGCAACTGGGGAGTCCATGAGCTTCCGGGGATGATGTCTGGGCTTTGCAGGACCCTGCTGAGCACAAGAGCAAGCTGGCACATCTTGGAGAGATGGATAGCAGAAGGGTTTACTGAACCCTACCTTGAACATTGCTCTACTTCTGTAGCATTTCCAATAAGTGGGAGACCTTAGCAGTATTTTTTGCCAGAAACAGGACATTTTCCAAAAGAGCATAAGCATCAGAGTAAATGTAACAGGAGGATTGCAGTCCATTTCCTTACTGTAAGCAGCCTTTATTGGTGATTAAAATGGAGGTTGAATGCCATTTCTTTAAGGACTGTGTCAGCCACCTGGACAAACAATACATTTGCATTAGGATTAAGATCTAATGACTCTTTGAGCTATCCCGTTTAATAGAACATGTTTTATTCCCCACTAATCCAGTTTGGTTTCCTCCTCTGCTATCCAAATACATACATGATATTTTACTCCTCACTTTTTTCCTTCAGATGAAAACTTTGCAAAACAGATTTAGAGCCTCCCCGCAGTCTGGCGGGGAGGCCCATGAGCTGCTGAGAACGTAGCATTAGGAGCAACCTGTGGAGCATGGAGCGCGAAGCAACACCTCTGCTCCTGCCCTCACTTCCCATGGGCAAAGTCAGTTGGCTGAGCATTCCCTCCTGAGAGCAAATGCAGGCCGTCTCCCCACCTGTACTGATCTGCTCGTGAGTTAACTCCTTTGAAGCCAGATGCCAGCTTGCAAGTAACACAACTCCCAAAGCGATCTTTGCATGCCAGTGAAATAGAGAGATGGACGAACCCATCGCTTTGGCTTTCTCACACATTTGTATTTTTTGAATCTCACATTCATGGGTTATATGGATATCAGTGGCTACTATCAGGGGAAACATGCCTCTCTGCCTGCTCTAAACTTTCCGAAGGCATCTAGGTTGGCTGCGGGTTGAAGGGAAGGCAGGGTGAGGGAGCCCTCCAGTCTGGTCCAGCAGGCTCTTCTGATGTCCAAATGGGAAGGAGCGCATACTATAGGAAGCAGGTTTGTTTCTTTCTCCCACTTTAACTCAGACTCAGGCTGCCCAGTCAGGAAAGACACATAGAGTTACAAAACGCATGAGTAACAGCTGAAGCATTAGACGCTTTGAAAAAAATTAGCCTGGGGTGGATCTGGCTCCCAGCCAGCTCTTACCAAGCCATCTCTCCCCTCCCTGCCCACCCCCCAGAAGTCCCGGCATACCCCCTTGGAAATGTGATGCCAACCAGGAAAGACTTGGTGGAGCACAGCCATCCCCCACACTGGTCCATGGTGAGTGGGATGCAGCCCCCCTCCCCCCCCCAAGGACTGGCAGGAAATTTCCCATGGACTGGCACCTGCCTGCGGACCCATGGTTGAAACCTTTTAAATTATTACTAGGGCTGTGCACCAACCACAAGATTTGCCCCTGCTTCACATCACATTTCTGCTAGAAATTGATTTTATTTTATACTTCATTTAATGTATCATTTTTCAATTTTTGTTGCCAGTTGCTTGAGTTCCAGTTAATGGAGATGGAAGACTTGAGTTCTGCATTGAGCAGGGAGTTAGAACCAATGGCTTTCTTGTCCCCTTCCAAGTGTAAGATCCTATTCTATCTTTGAGAGTCAGTGAGGTGTAGTGTATAAGAGTGCGGGATCAGGACTAGGACTTGGGTGATCTGGGTTCTGGCCCCTGCTCAGCCCTGGAGTCAAGTGGGTGGCTTTGGGCCAGGCACTGGCTCTCAGCCCAACCTACCTCGCAGGCTTGTCGTTGTGGGGATAAGCTTGAGAGCAGCAGGAGGAGAATGATGTAAGCCACTTTGAGGTCTTTAAAAAGAAAAAGGTGGGCCATAGATCTAATAAATAAAAAAAATGAAAATAACTTGATTGCATCAAATGAACATAAGAAGCCCCCATTTCTGTAGCCAAACTGGCAGCATCCAAGCACAGGAAGAAAGCATTGCAAGAAATCTGCTCCTTGTGAAACAATCTTTAAGAAGAAAAAATCTTGAGAGGAAAATCTCATACCATTCAATGAAAACGGAATATACTCAGTAGACATACTGAGTGGAATGCTGACTACTGGAAAAAATCAGAAAATCAGGTGGGAGATGGAATGATTATGAAAGGAGAAGGGAGGAAAAGATACACAGATGTAAAAGCGCACGCAGCACCCTCCTATTGTCAAGATAGGTGAATCCCTGGCTCCAGCCGGCTCCGCTCATGTAATGCCCAACACGTGGTTGTCCAAACTTTCCTTGAATACCCTCACGGATGAGGCTGCAACCATCTCCCTTGGAAGCCCATTCCATATCCAAGGGATCCTAACTGTCAGGAAGGACTTCCTGACGTCCAAGCTGAAACCTGGTTCCTTGAGTTTTGTCCTATTGAACAGTGTCCTGTCCTGCACCACAGGGGAGAACAAGTCACGATCCTCTACTGTGTGACACGCTTTTGCCTTGTAGTGCCATGTACCAGGAGGTGGGAAATATCTCTGCCCAAGACTGCAGTGATCCACTGTTAGATAGAGCCAATAATAACTGAGCTGGAAAACCAATTTATTCAAAGGATGTACAAATACATTTTCAGAACTTAGCTTGCATGTAAAAAAGATAAATGCACAGCATTTGCCAGTTTGTCTTGTGATATACAATACTGGATGCTTCAGAATATGAGACACTGACAATAAAAAAATGCTCTGGTTGTAATTTCCAGATTGTCAGGTCTAAGCTTCATAGGAGATGGCTCTCCTAACCCTAAAAATTGGCTAACACCAACCATATTTGTGACACAGAAAGGAGGCTGCTAGAAACACTTCCATGAGGCAGGAATTATACATGGGAGTTGCAGTATTTGAAAGCCACTTTCCCTGTGCACACAGATGGCAATTACCTTTGAAACAGCTTTTTTGTCTGAGTCCCTAATTGACTTACTCGCTTAGCATGTGCAGGTTCTATAAGGGAAGTTGCTGAAAGAGAAAATAAGCAAAAATATGGGGACTTGTGAATATGCCACCTAAGCAATCCTCTGGGCAGGGACTTAAGCAGAAGCCTGTCTCACATTGCCTCTTTCATGATTAAAATGCCTTACACAGATTCAGGTAGTGCTTCTGCTGATGCAGCCACTGTGATTAACACAATATATTTCCATTTTCTCTTATTGTCAATAGTTTTTGTGACAAGTGATAGAGAGAAATTAATTAAATTAAATTAAATCTCTCTGTCAAACAAGGACAGTTAGTTGCACTGTCTGGCTTCCTTTGAGGTTCTGTCTGATCTATTCCAGTAGGTTCTCAGCCAGGTTTGAAGTTCTTGGTGCTTCAGCATGTTTCTCACCAATAAACCTTCTTTCAAAGGGTGATAAGTGCACTAGAAGGACATGCTTCAAGCTGGATATGTATCATGTCCCTTGACATCATTCCAAACACTTGTTGAGAAAAATATCTAGATTACATTTTGTTGTGGCTTTATTTTTTGCAGTAAGTCAACACTAATAAGGATACAAAAATTAAACAAAATATCAGAAATCTAAAGCATCCCAGGGATAAAAGTAACTTGTGAAAAATCTCTTCTATACTTCAGCAGTGAGTTTGTCATGATCCTCCTGGAAGTGAAGATTACATTCTAGTGACATTTCTTTAGTTGGAACCTAGGAGAAGAAAAAAATGAGACAGTAACTTGAGTGGATGCCATATGGTGGCTTTCCCTCCCCCCTCCCCCCATAAACGTTTTGTGTGCAGCATCACAGAAAAGTTGGCCCTTTAATTAATTGGTAACAGAACAAAACTTCATGGAGTTAGTCAGCATTTCTGAGCTTGGCCAGTTATTTGTGCCAACTGAAATGTTCCCTCTTGCAGCAAATTCAGGGCACAGGTACTGGCAGAATGGGACACAAAGAGCATATGCTGAGCATGCAGAAGCCCTGAGCGATGCACTGGGACAACAACAAACAAACGAGCAGGGGGCAGCCATGCAAGAAATATGCCAAGGAGAACTGAGCATGCACAGTAGCCACACAGCACTGCCAGCTGGGAAAGAAACCCTGGGCTGGCAGGTGGGGGAGCAGAGTCCCTGTCTGAGCCACTAGCAGTATTCTGGGCGAGAACCGGGCTGGAACCCTGAACAGGAGCTCTCCGGGAGGGCTCATCAAGGCTATTGCAGGGCCCACGTGTGCTATTCCTGTCTCACTGGCTGATGATTGCAGATCACAGTGCCCCAAGATGCAAGAGTACATCTGACTTCCTGGGATGTCCCATGCAGAATTTACAAAGACTATCCTAAAGAATTACTTTGTCTCATAAGAACAGATTTGGGACGATACTGTCTCCATCGCCTGTTCTTTGTCTATTGGATTTATAGGGACAGCTCTGTTGACTTCAAGGAATTAATCCAGAACCAGAAAAGGAATACAACGTGTTGAGAAAGAAGGTGCCCCTTATACTTGGGAGATCCAAGGAGCAAGGTTTGTCTGGCCCCAATAATCACTCACTTAACACCACGAACACTGTAGGAAAAATCCATTTCTACTGTTAACATAACTACAGAGAAGTACAAAATGCAAGTGACTTTCAGAAATATCCCCTGCTTCCTACCACGGCTTAACAGCCACATGGATCTATAGAATTCCAAGCAGAAGGAGGCACAGAGCAGGCCGCAATGCATCCTTCTATGCTCCAGACTCTTTCTTTGAGCAAAGAAATCTGGTAAGAAATCGGAAGCTATTGGACTGGAGTGATGGACTAGACCCAGGAATCGTAAGTGACCACCAGTCAACTCCAAGAACGTGAAATAAAACACAGTGTGTACCCCACCTGCACTGTGATTATGTCTTACCTCCCAGTACACTGAATCATCATAGCATTTCTGATCAGGTGGCTGTCCCAAGAAAGGCAACCATAGAATTAATCCTGCAACATAACAATGGGGGAATACAATAATAGGTCATCACTGGGTAAACTTCTTGTAACAGATGCTACATAAAATAATATGATCAGATACTGCAGGATGAGAAGCTATGGTAACTTTCCATTCATGAAAAGCTAACGTACCCTTATTGAAAGATTTTGAGTTAAAAATGAAATGCTACAGGAACCCAGAACCCTGATTTAATTAGCACAGAATAAGTAAAACATCAGCTTAACATTAATTTACATGGGAGCTTTGTATATTCTTATGTACTCTCTTTTAAAAAGGGGGATGAAGATACTTCCTTTTTCTGCCTGGTGCATTTAAAATATACTTTTCCATGAGGGGTTTTTCATCTTGCACAATGCTTTAAGGTGACATTGAAAAGGGGTTTTATTTTACTGACCTGTGAATGCGCCTCCTACCAAAGCAATTGCAAGCGAGCATCCTAGAGCAGCAGCCTGCATCCCAATGGATATGCTGTGAGATGGGGAAATAAAATACAAATTGCGGGATGGAGTTTGTTAAGTGCATTCTTTTGCACGTACAATGAAATGGAAGCAAGGTCACATATGGGAACTCCTTTCATTACAACAGGCAGGGAATATTTCATAGTGGGAGAGCAACTTGCACGTTGACAATACCCCTCTCCAGAACGATGGCTTGCCCATAGTTCTAGGCTTCCTCCAAGGCCTTTGTCAGTGCTCTAGGCCATTCTCCCTGCCTTCATGACTTCACTGGTTCCCCCATTCCTTGGGCCTTGACAGGAAAGAATAAAGCCCACTGTGATAATCGGCACCTCTTGTCTTTCTGATAAGTGCTTGATGGGGCAAAAGGTGGGAGAGGGAAACCTCCAACCAGTAGAAACCCTTCATTGCCTGCATGATTTGTGAGAGGTCCTCTTTTGTCAAAGGGTGCACCAAGAAAACCAACGGACTGTAATTTACTTTCCTAAATGTATAGATACACACAATTTCCCTTCAAAACAGCATGTCAGCTCAGTCTGCTAGTTTTTAAATGGTTTTAACTTTTTGTGTGTGAACTGCCTGGAGAGTTTCGTATAGGGGGTGATATAGAAATGCAATGAATGAATGAATGAATGAATGAATGAATGAATGAATGAATGAATGGCAGACACTTATGTGTGATTCTTTCCCTTTGTGTCAAGGATTCCAAAGAGATACTCTCCTGGATCACAGGCTAAGGGGCAGCCTGTCCAGTGCAACACGGCTACTTTCCTTCCACTGATCCACCTGCAATATTTCACTTGTGCAACTTCATGCCGAATGGGCACGGCTGCCTCGGTGCAAGCAGCCACACGTGACTCAGTTGCATTTCTGTTCACCTGCTCCTGCAAGCCCTCCTGTGTGTTGCCAAGGTGCCTAGGAGAGCTTTCTCAGACACTCTCCTATCCAAAGCATGGATGACTGCTGGCAACGAGCCACTGCAGCAACGGGAGCGAGCAGTTTTACAGGCCGAGGGCCAGATCCCAGATCCAAGGCTGCCACTACTGCTATGTGACACACCAAAGGGCCAGCCTCCCAAATGCACAGGCAACCGGAGCCAGAAAGCATTCCATGCGCTCCAGGTGAAATGGTTGCTTTTGTCTTTTGATTACAACCCAGTTTATAACATTGTTTTACCAGCACATAAGGCATTAATATATGCCTCCTTTCCATGAGACATTAATATATCTGTTGTTTTATCATTGCAGTCCATTTTGAAAGGGTTTGAAACGTAATAAATTGCAAACTCACTTTGAGTTGACCTGCACAGCAGCTGCAATAATGCTTGCAATGCCCCCCAAAATACCAGGCAAGCCGTGCAAGTTATGAACACCACACGTGTCTTGAATCTTCAGTGCTGAGGCAAAGAATGGCTATGAGGAAAGGGAAGATTATTTTTTTTCTGAGGGATCTGGAAAGAAAATAAGGATGGTGCTTCCTTCTTTTCTATATCCTTGTTACTAGAAAACAGGCCTATCTTATACAATTTGTAAATGCATTGTATACAGTGCCGCATGTATTAAACACTCATTTGTGCTGAGCTCATGCCCAGGATTATCAGTGGAATGGCCTGAAGTTATCAGAAACCAACACAGCTCTTGTGAGCTGGCCCCTTCCCTCTTTTCCTTCAGCTTACCAAACTCAAGACAGACTCCTCTTTCATCACTACTTAACAGTTTACAGAACGGTGTGAACTAGAAACAGTTTTCTGCCAAAGCTGAGGGAGAAGCATCTGCCCATGTAAAAAGTTGTATCTAAACATAAAACATGTCCTCCTGTCTCTCCCATTTGGTAAAGCTTCTGAAAGGGTGGCTCTTGCCGCTTGAGGGCTAGATGGCGGGAAAGCCACAGACTCTCTAACTGGGCCATGTGCTTCTCCAGTCACCTCTTCACTGGATCAAGATTCGGGTCTTGCATCTGTTCCCCCTCCCATCCTCAAAACCCTTTGCCCCTTTCAAACCAGGTGGCTCCCATCCTTGGCCTGAGAAATATTGCAATTGCGATTAATATCCTGCCTTTTTCCTACAAAGGGCTCAAGGCAGCTTACATCATTCTCCTCCTCCATCTTATCCCCACAACAACAACCCTGTGAGGTAGGTTGGGCTGAGAGTCTGTGACTGGCCCAGAGTCACCCAGTTGGTTCCATGGCTGAGCGGGGACTAGAACCCAGATCCTCTGAGTCCCAGTCCCATGCTCTTAACCACTACACCACACTGGCTCTCCTCGAATCAGTGAACCCCTGTGCCCCCTTTTGCTCCTCCATCTCCTCAGACTCAGACACATCCATCCCAACAGTCTGTAATGTGTGAGAGGGACAGGCTGATTCTCCCAAGCAGTCTTGCTTGCCAGGCTATGGCCTGAGGCGGCCCTTGTGCCTCATCCTGGTTAGAAGCACGAGTCTCTGTGCGTTTGCATCAAGGCAAACACCTGGCATGGTCTGGGGGAGAACATTTCCTTCTCCGCTGCAAGTACGGAAATCGTTCTGAGTGATTTCTAAGTGGGAGCACAATCCCACAAAACTTATCAAAGACATCTGGAAAGGAAATGCTCTGAAGGAAGTGCAAGGAAACCCTTCACGAGCGAGGCGAAGTAGTCAGAACAACAGCATTTTATTTGTGTTCTTATGCAAGCCATCTCTGCCTGCTATAAAGAGGAACCCAGCTGCCACGAGCTGCAAGAATAATCCAGTCAACTGAGGTGCCTGGCTCTGGTCTTAGGTGTCCTAACGTAACATTAAGAAAGCCTTCTCACAGAGTTAGTGTACCCTACGCAGCGAGCAGTACTGCAAGCTGGCCTTCACTGGATGGACTTGCCTTCCAAAAACTATACTCACAGTCAAGTATTTGAAGCCAATAACTGAGATTATTCCAGCTAGGCTGCCAATTAACATGGCCCCAAAGGGCAGGATACTTAAGTCAGCGCAGGAACCCACAGCGACGCCTCCTGCTAGGGTGGCATTTTGAATGTGCACCTGTGAGAGGAAAACAACATTGACAAGAAAAGGCTGAACTACCCAGTACGTCAGATCTGCAGCATGCAGCCTATCTTTTCTTTTGAGCTTGGTCTAGATCAGGGTGGCCTTGCATGCAGAGAGGAGGTTTAAAACTTCCCCTCCTAGCTGCTTGCTTCCTCAACCTCCCCCCACCCTCCGTCCCCCAGCCACAGTGTGCACATGGAGGCTAAAGAAATAAATAGAGCATCCGCTGGAAGGTAAGACCAGTAAAAGTGAGAGATGATTTGCCTTTCCTTGAACTGACCAAGGCACTGTCCAAAGCAGGACTGCCTGTGGAAGTCAAAGCTCTTCCTTTGGACTTGAGCCTCCGTGATCAGCTTCCCCTCCCCAGCTGCTTCCCTGAGGTCATTGGAACAACCTGGGTGAACTCAAGGAGGGCAGGAAGGGAGGAGACAGCTGCTGCCAAGACTCAACGCATCTTGGTAGTGCTTCTTCGACCTCCTCCCCTCCTGCTTGTAAGCACCGCAAATCGACTACATAGCTGCTCTGCAGAGGAAGAGGAGCACGGAGGCAGCCTTGCCCTCTGTGTTCCTCCTCTGCCCAGAGGACCATAATTCTCTGAATTTGGAGGTTTCAGGCAGCCCTGCTGGACTCAGTCCTTTGTGGCCTAAAGGCTAATAGCAGCATTCTGAACTGAACATGGAAACAAACTGACAGTCACTGTAGGATTGGGATAAGGTGAACACTTTACTCCTACCAGCATTGAACCAGCCTGGTTTCCCAAACTATTTTTAGAGGCAATTCTATGCAGTCAGTATTGCAGAATTTCATCCTGAATGCCACTTCTCCACACAGTTCTCCAGTCTGGGCTGGAATTGTAGTGCTGCATCTAGTGATGTGAAGAGCCTCCCAGAAACTGGCTCTCTTGTGTTTGGCAGACTTCTTTCCCATGCTTGGTCCTTTCCTAGGAAGTGAACTGAGACGGGACCAAGTTTGTGATTGCTTGGGAACACTAGTGGACCCCTTCTATATGCCAAATTATTCTCTCACAAATTATGTAAAGCCTGCAAGTCAAGGATGAAGAAGCAGAAATCCAGTTCTGCAGGGGGCGCACAGGTGGCAGGCTGCATGTGTGCCAAAGGACCTCACTAGTTATACCTGTGCAACAGGTAGAATCCCTTCCTGCTGGACACCTGTGCACATGCCAGGCGCAAATCAGGCTTAGGGAAGAGAGAAAGCAGCCTGGGGTCTGAGAAGTCAAGCTGAGAAAACCTGATGAATTCCCACCCCAAAACCAGACTCCTCACACATGGCCATCTACCATCCCAGAAGCAGTTTGTACTGATAGCTCCTAAATCTAATCACTGTGGTTGCTGTGTATCTTCTGGGGCCCTCTGGAGTTCAAGGTGAAGCTTACCATGTCCAGTTTGCCTCTGTGTTCGACCAGGACAGAGGTGGCAAATGCTGTGAGTGTGCATGCCGCCAAAGAGCAGTAGGTATTGATTATCGCTGTCTGCTGGGCTTCTCCTGCATGTGCAATTGCTGAGTTAAAGCTGGGCCAGAACAGCCAAAGAAAAAGGGTACCTGTAGAAATACATTGTAAAAGATCAGCAAGCAAATGCTCTCAACTTCCCCTTGTGGTTTTAAAACAACATAGCAGTATAGGAACCTGTCTTAAATCTGGGTGGCAAGATTTCCATATAATCTACTCTGACTGGTAGGGACTGTCCAGACCCCTAGGGAGAAACTCTTCACATCATCTGCTACCCGATCCTTCTGACTAGAGACATAAGAGCTGGGACTAGGGACCCTCTGCATGGAAAACATGCATGCCACCAGGCTGTGGTCCCTTCCCATACTTTTCTTCCAGCTCCAAATACCACATATCTCGTTCTTCCACCACGTGGCTCTTAGGAAGCCTCTGTTGACCCAATCTTAAGCATTGATGCCAACATAACACTTTGAGATTCCATTGTACCAACAAGACAAAACTGTTGTCACCTCATATTGGGTAACTTTTATCCATGAAGCACTTACGCTTAATCTCAAACACCTGTTGGCACTACCGCATACCTTGCCACATGGCCTCCTGGAATTTGGAACTCTAATTTGGATAGAGAAATGAGGGAACAGGGGCTATTGCTATAAATATTAAAGCACTGGGTACTCTTAATTTTAGAACTACTTGTGAAAAGTTGAAAAGTAGCAAGCTCTTTGGATTATAAACCACTGTTTTAATCTTTAACACATCATCAACATGTAAAAGAATAAAAATCAGAAAAAATACTCTGAAATTACTTATTAACTGCTGATAAACCAAAATACATTACCAAATTATAGTAAGAAATAAGGGGCAGAACAGAATTAAAAACTAGTTTTATGGGGAATCTGAATGAAATGAATGTAGTGGAAGTGAGCATTTAGGGAATGCATATTTTCAGTACATGTGGGGCACTGAAGTGATGATTTAGTTTGCTAATGTTTCATTTAGGGCACCATGCAGCATGTGTAAAATATTCTAAGGTCCCACTAATGTTGTATAAGAGCATGGATGAATTCCTCCTACCCAAATCAGTGGGACTTAAAAGTACATAGCTTGAGCCTGAACAGTTCATTTCTCCTGGCCAAATTACCTGAACTTCATGATATAATCGGTTCAGAACAATGGCATACAGAAAAAAAAGACAAAGCTTAGCATGATGTTGCTTCCAAAACAGTGCCATGAAAATCAACTCATAATAGACACAAGCTCCTTACTCACCAATCATAGCAAGTAAGTCTGAGTGGTAAGAAGAGCCTTCATTTTCATGACCATTTTTCAGACCAGGCCGGTATAACATTCGAGCAACAGCCAGACCAAAATAGGCTCCAAAAGCATGAATCGTCATGGATGCTCCAGTATCAGTTGCCTACAAAATGACAGAATGAACAAAAATGGAGGATTGCAAATTCTTATATAAAGTGTATAGTGCGTTTGGTCAACATCTTAAACCCCCTCCAAGCCACATACACAGACCAGTAAAACGTATAATTACCATCTTAGGGGTGGGGTGGGGGGGCGGAATCATTGAAAATGACAATGAGTAATTGGGACTCGTCTCACTAAATTATCTTGAATGGTTGTAAGGTGAGGGTAAGTTCTGGTGCCCTCCGGATATTTTGGACTTCAGCTACCAAAATCCTCAACAGCAGAGCCAATGCTCAGTGATTCTGGGAGTTATAGTGCTCTGCCTCTGTTCCAAGGCTATAGTGCCACTGCCCCTGTGCAGGCGGGCAAAGGGCTTGCTCCCTCCCACTTCCTCCAGGATGATGCCTGCATGGGGCTGCACAGGGGAGAGGCACATGCACTGCACAGAGGCTCAGGCTAAGTGGTTGGCATGCTCCCCTCCCACTGGGCACTGATCGCACTAGATGGCGATGATGATGTTGCTCCTGTTACTTAAATGTTTTGAGTATTGTGGATATGTTATCGGTTTTATGCTTGATATGGTTTTATATAATTGTACACCATTCTGAGAGTGTCTACTACAGAGTGGCATATAAAAACTTTTAATAAATAAGCAAACATCTTAAGGTGTTATCTCTTCATTCACTTGGAATATAAATGTAATCATATTTTAAAATAAAACAACAAAACATCCGATTTTGGCACCCAAACTATTGAGTCTTTCACAGACCTCTCCCCAGCAATGTCTATATAGACACCTTAGAAAGGGGTGAGTGGCTTTCCCCAGAGCGATCGTGGTACAGCCAGCTACTGTTACAGCCTCAGTGAAGGCCCTGCTTTTGCAAGCACTTCCTGAGGGCAAACAGGCAAACCAACCTATGAGCCATGTATATAAATACTTATGACTGGTGAATAATTATGATATCTGGGACTGTTATCAGAAACTGGATTCTCCCACCTTGCACAATGGTCTCCGGTGCATCTGATGCACCTGCAACTCCCACAGATGGTCTTAGTTAGCAAAACCATTTGCTTCAGGTGTGTGGGGTGGCGCATTTCTCCTTTATAGGGGTCTGTCAAGGTTGGGTAATGGTTGCAACACAGCAAATGCTTCACTTAAGCACTTGTTTTAGCAATGCCTGGCAGGTCCTCTGTTGGGGAGGGGGACATTCTAGAGATAAGTTTCGTTTTGCAACATTGCTCAGCGTTTACTGACCTGTGTGCTTCTGGCAGTGAAAAGACTGGAAGGGTCAACACTCACCTCCAAAAATGCAACAGACAGGCAACTTCCAATGCTCTCAACATCTGAGTGGGTGGCACGTAGATGGATATTCAGGGTGTGATCCAGCACTGCCCCCACCCCCATGCATAGAAGCCTCTCTGCTCAGAGGCTGAGATTCATTCAAGGCATGGTGGAAAGTGTGTCAGCAGCATTCTTTGCTGCCACCGCATCTGCACCCACAACTGCTTGAACTGCTGGGAATAGGAAGAGGAGGTGGCCAAGGTACCAGTTAGATTCAGGGTGAATCTCTGGCCCCGGCCTCCAACACCTCTTCCAAATACAGGTACTCCCCGTGTTATGGACTTAGGAATCCATTCTGGTTATTTTCTCTGTTTTGTTTTAGGTTTGGTTTTGTATGGAAGTGTGGCATTTTATTGTGGTCTATTGCAAATTAGCAGAGCAATTCAGAGATATATTCAGAAAATGAACAAACATCATAAAGTACTTTAAAGTGCTTCAGATGCTTCATATTTATCATCTTATTATAATGGATGCAAAAATGATAGTGAGCTAGCTTAACTCTATAAGACTTTAACAGATGTTCTAAATTGTTTTAAGAACTATTTATTTCTTGTTTGTTTTTTACAGTGCTGTATACCTACACACATACATACTGATTCTCTCCCACCCTCTTTCTCTTCAACACCTGTAGTTACTTTATTACTACTGTATTATTATCATTGTTTCAATGCTGCATTGTGTTTACAATGTTTTGGTGATTATGGAAGTTTTTCTTAAATGTTCTATATGCATAGAAAACGAAATATATGTATATTAAGACAAACATTTGGCCTACTCAAGTGATCTGACTTGCATACAAATTTGACTTAAGGATGTACGCAGAAGCAGAACTTGTCCATAACTCAGGGGCTTCCAGTATAGGGGGACGACTTCAGCTCTTTTTGGAGCACTTTGCTCTCCTCGGCAGGAAGCACAACAGCGCTTCTTCCTGCCTGCTGCCTCTGCTCTGTGCTGATGCATTTCCAGGGAGAATAACAGCATCAGGTTGGGGCCAATCATGTCGAGAAACTGTTTTTCTAAATTTCAGTCTTGATAAATCTGAATAATAGCACAACTTTGCACAGTCTTGAAGGACAGTCCCACACAGAGTGCATTGCAGTAGTCAAGTTAGAGATTACCAGAGCGTGGATCACGGAGAGCAGGTTGTCTCTGTCCAGGTAGGGCCATAGCTGAGCCACAAGCCAAAGCTGGTAGAAGGCACTCTGAGCCATTGAAGCCACTTCAAAGTGACAAAGTTGCCTCAAGTGACAAAGGTGGCTCAGGCAGCAACCTCAGGCTATGAACCTGCTCCTTTAAGGGGAGTGCAGCATTATCTAGAAGACGTTGAATCCCCTCCAATGCTGAGAACTATAACTAACTTTATAGGCTAGATAAATATATAACTGATAATTGAATGGGTGGGACAGGAGAGTAGATGAAAGAAACCTTTATTATAAATGTGCTTAAATGAGGAGTTGCTTGTAAAATCCTTAGAACAACCCTTGACTTCTTTTCATCTACTTTTTTCTTATTATGATATACTCCTTTTTCCCCTCTACTGTATTTATGGAAAACAAATAAAAAAGATTTGCAAAGAAAAAGTAAAGATCTGGGTCCAAGGAGGGTTTCTTCAGGCGTGGCTTTGCCACTGCTTGTTTCAGGCGGCAAGGGACCACTCCTTCTCGTAAAGAGGCAGTAATCTCCTCCCTGGCCTCAGATGGCCCCAAGGTATCAAGACATCCTGGTCAGGATCTGATTTGAGGCCTGTCCTCATACGTGTGTCTTTATTTTTAGATCCACACCTTCTGACAGTGAATCCCTAAAAGTAGATAAAGGTTGTGCAAAGAAAGCATTGTCTTCTGCTATTGTTTCTGCAAACCTGGGGAGTTGTGAGGCTCAGCAATGAACCGTTTGCTGTGGCACTATAGCAAGTATAGGGGAAATTGCACCATCACTGATTCGGTGTCTGGGGCTCGGATGCCATCTCTCCACCAAGCGCATGGCTGAAGTTCAAATGACACATGGCAAAGCATCACATGTTTCCTCCTCCATTAAACACACTCACGCCCCAAAATAAGCCTCAGAAGTGCATACATGCCGGTGGAGCAAGGCAAATGGCTGACTGAATACCCCCTTGCCATTCTTTCACAGAACTTCCTCACTGCGAGTCTTCCTTAAAGAAAAACTGCCAAATAACCTGAAGCCAAATTGTTCTGCAGTAAGCGCAAGCGATAGCGTATAGCATGTTTATAGAATATAGCAATACCATTTTGATGTGGGTTGAATAGAACCCAACAGCATTTCCCCCCTTAATATGAATGTCAGAGAAAATCCCTACCTGTAGTATTTCCACAACAAGGTATTCATTGCATGCAAAGATGGTGATCTCAAAAATGGCCATGATCAGCATCTGGACAGGACTTGTTTTCCCCAGGACAGCTCCCAAGGAGATGAGGACAGTTGCTGTACTGAAGTCTGCATTGATCATACTTTCCGTTTGAACGGGAGAAAAACACAACAATGGCAGGTTAACTGCGAGGTCACATGCTGTATGTGCTGGCAGCCGAGAATGTAATGTCTAGTCTCATTCTGAGCGCCTTGAAGGAAGAGAAGCAATGCACAACGTACTTTAGAACAGTCAGCACAAATGGGACATTAATCGTTTGCCCAGGAACCGTGGTCCAGCCACAACAATTTAATGGGGTGCAATCCTCTTGCAAGTCCTTTTCAGTGGTTATTTCATGGACAAAGACACAGGAATCCCTTGATCAGAATGCCGTCTGTTTCATCTCCCTCCTGTCAAAAGCGGGAACTACATTCCTTGGGGAGCTACATCACAATATTGCCAAAGGAAAGAGCCCACCTTACAAAAATCAGTGAAGAGCACAGTCCTATGGCCAGCTGACAGCCAAAGGAGCCAGTCTCATCAGTGGGCCACCACCCATTCAAGGACCTTGCCCAGAGGTAGTTTCTTCAGGAATGGCCTCACCAATGCCTGTTTCAGCAGCATGGGGACCCTCCTTCTTGCAGAGGCATTGATCGTCTTCCTGGCCCAGCTGATTGAGCCTTTCTTGCTGTCCTTTACTAGCCTCAAGGGGCATGATTGTGGGTCAGAGGTGGTTGCACGGACCTTTCCAAGCACCTCGTCAACCTACTCAAGCTTTATCAACTGAATCTCATCCAACAGAACCTGACCAGGCTGTTCTCTGGTGCCTCAGGTGATTCAAGGGCTAGGACACTGGACTTCAAGTCTTGGCAGATGCAACAGATTTTGTCTGGGAAGCACCTAGAGTGTCTCAGGCAGGTCTACAATGCCCTTGGGACTGGCATATAATAGGTCCCAGAGGACACTGACCATAGTCCTCTGGACAGCAAATAGAAGATTGAATATTTATTTATTTAGGACATTTGTAGGCCGTCCTTTGCAAAAGCCTCAGGACGACTTACACGAATAAAATTCCACAATAAATAACAATACATAAATAGCATAAAACAATCCACAATATGTCATCTCTTAATTAATAAAAGTAATAAAAATAAAATGCAACTGTATATAAATTAGCAATATTAATAAAATAATATTAGTTGTTAAAATGGAGATTAAATGAAAAGGAGTTTACCTGGCGCCAAAAGGAATAGAGGGGTGGAGCCAGGTGGACCTCTCTGGGGGCCATGTTCCATAGCCTGGGTGCCACCACAGAGAAGGCCCTCCTCCACGTGGATACCCTCCGTACCTCCCTGCTGATCCTAAGGGGCGTGAGGGCATATAGGGGGAGAGAGGCTTCTTAGAGGCGAAGAGGAGGTTTTCTGCTGCCTTCACTACACCTAAACATTCCTGCACATACCAGAGTGCAATTGCACCAACTGGGAGGTTTTTCTCCAGCTGCACTCACCTCCTGTGTAGATTCATCGCTCTCAGCTCTGGGATAGACCATGGAGCTATCTGAGAGGCACACAGAGGCACTCAGGAGTGATTGTGTCCACCACCCGGCTCGAGCAAGGCAGAATTCTGCAGGCCACAGCAACCCCCCCTCGCCTGGCCTTTGAGTCCACTGATGCTGGCACAACACCCCTGTGGGAAGAACAGGGAGAGACTACCTCCTCCCTGTCCACTCACCCAGGTCTGGTCATGCATAACTGATCGGCCAGCTCAATCACTATTCAGTTTTGGATAGGGAAGGCCTTAATCTGGACCAACCTGGCACTGCACAGGAGCATCTGGAGGCCTGGGGGCAGGCTGAGAGGGCAGCCGCCTTACCTGCAGGTGCAGGGAGAGCCAGTGACTGCCTTGGTCATGTTCTCCTTCCTGGCTAGAGCCAGCCCAATGCCATACCTCCCTCTGGGCCCTCTAGATTCCCCCACTTGAGCCCACATCTTCCCTCCAAAGCACTTCCTCAGGCCCTGGGAAGGGAAAAGCCAGTTCCCACCCCCTCCACCAAAGGCACAGAGCAAATCAGACAGACAAAAACATGAGGGGGGTGGCCTTTTCCCTTGTTCCCCCCTTTGTTGTTGTCCCCTTCGCGGTCCTTGCTGCCCCCTTCAGGCTGACAGAGAAGGCTTTCTGAGGGCCAAACATCAGCTGGCAAATGTTGGCCATCAGTCAGCTTTCAGTTCCTGCTGTTTATGGGAGCTTCCCTCACGATAGGTCCCTAATCCAGCAACAGCAAACAACAGCCAAGGGAAGGGGCTGGTAAGAGGATTAAAAACAAAACAAAACAAAACAAACAAAACAATCACTGGCATCTTTCCTGGAGAGTGCCCAGTCTGCTTTCAGGCTTCAGGTCTTTGCAGCTGCTGTGAAGCTCCAAAGGGTCGAAATGTGCTAGCAAATAAGTGCAGTCTGACCCTTTTGGCACTCCCTTCCCCTAAAAACGATTTTTCTTTACTCTCTTCCCTGCCTGGGAGGAGTGGCTCCTTGGGAGGATCCAGTGGGCAGAAATAATCCCCAGGCTTCCCATACCTGGTTCCCAGACCAGGTCTAATCAGGGGGCACAGAAGGGCCTCAGCAAAGGAAGCGGTGGCAGGGCAGCTTCTTGGAGACATATTTACCCAGCACCTTAGAATCTGAGCATCTACTCCACCTGTGCTGGTGGCCATTTACTTGCAAAAACATAGACTGCAGTAATATTCTTAGCTTTTGAGCACCCACAGTGCTTCTTATGAATTGTGGTTGGGTTGCCAGTGAAAAAGGCCTTCAGTGTCTGATTCCTTACCTTCTAATGCCAATCAGGATTCTATTTAATTTCATGTGCCAAAAGCCTTGGACTAGGATGCCCCACTGGAGTCCCAAGGCGGCAATGAGGAAAGTATTACCAACGCTGCTGAAGCCATATTTCTTCAGGAAGGTCATCAGAAAACCAAATCCAACAAAGATCATCACATGAACATCCTGAAAGACTGGAAGAAGAAGGAAGACCATGTAAAGGGCTTATGACTGGCTGAATCAACTGCAGAACTTCAATTCTACATACCTGTCACAAGGTAATTCCTGCAATTACCTATCAGAAGGAACCGTTTTTTCTCAGCGAGAAATTTTTAATCAGATAATCAATAATCACATTTCCTCTACTTCCTATGCTGAGGCATGTGTTTTGTTGCTTATGGAGCCAAACTGAGACTGCCCCCACACAAAAAGGGAATATCAGCAGGTCCAAAGTTTCTAAAAGTATCAACATAAAAAAATTTCAAGGGAGTACGCCCTCAAAGGGGCAAGCAAAAATAGTCCAATAAGAACTGAGCACTATTTATGATTATGGTTATGGTTATTAAATCGAATTACACACAGCTATCCATATTTAAAAATGAAAAGTGGCTTGCCATAGAATGCAGAAGACAAAGAGGAGGAGGGGAGCAGGCTGCAGCAGGATTGGACCACTGGCGCTACGGGCAGGGACATGCCATGCTGCAACATTTTGCTGCAGGCCCTACAAATGAGCAGACTGCCTCAGCACAGAAGCTGCTCCAAATAACCATGTGTGCTTTTGGGAAGACAAAGCAACCAATACATTTTAGCAAGGGTGATTCACAGACATATTTGTAAATTATCATTTGCCTTTGTGTTAACACCCTCCCATTATTAAAGTACAAAAACAGCAGAAACAGCCCCACAAGTATGCTCTCTATCATTCTTTGTGACAGAAATATGGGTGAGTATCACAAGAGGTCCTGCCACATCCTGTGTGAGACAGGGAGGCCAAGGTTAATCAGGTCAGGCCCCTTTGCCTCCAAAAGTATGGGGAAATCCTCTTGCTAAAGCTTGCAGACTAATTAATCATAATTAGGATGCAGTCATACAGAGATGTTTGCAACTGTCTGAACCCCGAGGACTGAGGTCATCTTCAGAAGGGGAGAAGTGAAGTGAGGGCTGCTTCTGCCCCCTCCTGCAATGCCAGACTCTTAGCCTGTTTTGGCCCTCTAGGTGTGGGTGCGAGAAGAGAAGGTGGAGACGCTTTTTGAGATCACAACTAAAGCTTTCTTTTCATTTTTCTATTACAACACACAGAACAGAAAGGCTTAGGCTGAACTGATACGCCTCCTGGAAGTGCATCTGGATACAGACTGTGCCCGTGAAGGACACAATCACTGGAAGAGGAAGTGAAGGGGGAGGGTCTGGTAGGAAGTGGTGGTGGGAAGTTCAGAGCACCCCTGGGGAGATTCAGTAAAAGCCAGGTGGGGGGCATGCAGCTCCTGGGGCACAGGTTAGGCACCTCTGTTTAGAAATACACAACAGAGTGTGGGCCCGTCTCATGCTCATCACAGCCTGCTTACACAGCCCTCACACAGCAAGAGCCACCCTGAGAATGGAATCAGAAGTGTTACTGAAAGAGGTGACAGAGGTGAATTTTCCAGTTTGGATTCAACTCTTTACAGAGGCAGATGTTGCTCCCACAAGTTCTCGCATCTTATTTAGAGTTTACACTCTTCTGCAAAATGTTAAACTTCCATAAAAGAATTGCACTTCAGATCTTGAATTTGGAAAACAGAAGGAAAAGAGGGAAGGCCAGCTCATGACACATACGGCCTGTAGGGAAAGTGTATCGCCACTCCAACAGACTTTTTACTTCTACATACACAGGTGCAGGAAGTGAAAGCTAAAGAAAAGAAAATTTAGGGTAAGCACTCTGTACACACAGTGGCAAACCGGCTGCCCAGAGGATCCCTCAAGCAGGAGGGTGCAAGACCAATTCTTGCCAAAGCTCCTCAGGAACTGGTGTTTGGATGCCAGGAAGTACTTCCTGACCATTAGGACCCCGAGGGTAAGGAACAGGCTTCCATGGGAGGTGGTTAAGGCCCCATCGGTGAGCGTGTTCAAGGCCAGACATGCACAGGATAGGCATGTCATGAGCAAAGCTGGCTAGAGCTGGGGGGTCAGACTAGTTGGGCCAGGAGGTCCCTTTGGACTTGCTCTGTTTCTATTTTTCTTTGTTTCTACATATGCAGGCAGGCCACCTCTGGTAAAGGAGGTAGCATGTAGCCAGCTAGACTGGTAGCCACTGGCAGCCTCCTCCCTCATGAATCTGTCCAATCCCCTTTTAAAGACATCCAGACTGGTGGCCAGCACCACCTTCCATGACAGCAAACTCCACAGTTTAACTGTATGCTGTGTGAAGAAGTTCTTCCTTTAATCTGTCCTAAATCTCCCACCAATCAACTTCATGAGATGATCCTGAATTGTCCTTTCTCCACACCATGCATGATTTTAAACTCCACTATCATGTCCCCACTTTCTCGCATTTTTTCTAAGCTGAACAGTCCAGTTGTTGTAGCTGCTCCTCACAGGGGATCTGTTCTGTTGCCCTTCTCTGTACCTTTTCCAACTCAATATTGTCCTTTTTCAGGGAAAGCAACCGGCAGCGAACACAATATTCTAAGTGCAGTCACACCAAAAGATGGTTTACCTTTTTCCACAGCAACTGCACACTGGGCTGGCCTTTTCATTGAGCTGCCCACCACTACCCCAGGATCCCTTTCTTGCTCAGTCACTGCTAGCTCTGATTCCATCAATGTATACTTGAATTTGGGATTTTTTGTACCAACATGCATTACTTTATTCTTGCTTATATTGAACTGCCTTAGTCATTTTGCTATTCCTCTCAATCCTATTTTAACCATCTAAATGGTGGCATCAGCAAACTTGGCCTCTTCACTACTTACTCCTAATTCCAGATCATTTATGAACAGGTTGAAAAGCATGGGTCCCAGTACACAACCCTGTGGGAGCCTTTTGGGAGTCCAAGTAAACAGTGCTTACTGGATCGTCCCTGTCCACATGCTTACTGATACTCTCAAAGAACTCCAAAATGAGACAAAACTTCCCCTTGTGGAAGCAATGCTGATTTATTTTCAGCAGGCTTGTCCCTCTAGGTGACATCTATCATCTATGTCCCTCTATATCTAGCTTTAATCATGCTTTCAAGCACCTTACCCAGAACAAATGTTAAGCTAACTGCCCTGTAATTTCCCAGTTTCTTTTTTTTTAAATGTTATTGGCCATTGGAACATATTAAATATTTTGTTAAGGAGTTCAGTGATTTCATATTTGAGTTTTTTGACAGCTCTTGGATGGAGACCATCTGGACTAGGTGACTTGCTGAATTTCAATTTGTCAATAAGGTTGAGAATTTCATCTTTTGTCACCACCATCTGCCTTAATTCCTCAGACTCCCTTCCAAAATACAGAAACTCAGGGACAGGGTTAGGATTACCTTCTGCTGTGAAGACTGATGAAAAGAATTAATTTAGCTTCTCTGCAATCTCTTGACTCCCCCCCCCCCACTTAATGCCCCTTTAATCCCATTATTGTGCAATAGTCCAATTGCTTCTTTAGCTGCTCTCTTTCAATATATCTGAAGAATCCCTTATTGTCGGCCTTCATGTTATTAGCAATATGCTCTTCAAACTGCTTTCTTGTTTCTTTGATCTACCTTGTAGTCCCTTCTGTTTTTCCCATTTGGGCAAGACTTCCATTTTTTGAAGGAAGCTTTCTTCTCCCTGATAGCATCCTTGACTATTAATATCCATTATTCATCCCTAATTAAAGCTTGCATTTTTAAAACAACAACAGAGATAGCCTAACAAATATGTTTTCTATCGCTCTTGGTGGCAGAAATATGTACAAGTGTTCCAACAGTACTGGAACATCTGCACGAGGCAAAGAGGCCAAGCTTAATCATGTCAGTCCCCTTTGCCTCCAGAAACATAAGGAAATCCTCTTGCTAAAGTTTTTAAACTAAAGAAATAATTACTCTTAATGAATGTATTAAACAAGTTTGCATATTACTAGTTATCTTTTGAGATACTGAAATAATTATGAGGTCTTACATTTGAATAGAAAAAAGCTAGCATTCATTGTTAGTCTTTTGGAAAAGTCTCTGATTTTTTTTAAATTTCCTATTACAGTTTTACACAGAACCTTTTAAAAACATGCCTAACAAAACTCCTGACTTTGAAATTTCAAGAGAAAAAATGGTCCTCGTTAATACCAGCAAGTTGTAAGACATCCAGTTATAAAATATATTTGCTGTTTTAATCTGACAGTTTGCTGCTGCCCATGAACAACCAAGAAACAAGTTAAGAATTGCAAACAGTAAATAAGAATCCTCTGTGAAGCAAGAAAAATTCAGATGCATGAAGGAGGGAGCAGTAAACTTCAGCAAAATCTCAAAGAAATAGAGTAAGTGCTGACCTGAAACAAAACTTCAAGTGACTTGTTTAAAGTGAGAATGTTCCCTGCAAAACTCTGACGTGGTCTACTTTTCTTTCTTTCTTTCTTTTTTTTTTTTTTTGGTGTACGAGCCTGTTATTTAGAAACATAAACCCATTAGAGGACACCTTTGACACTTCGATGGAATTTTGATGTGCTATCAGTTTATGGTGCAAATAGTACACTTTGGAACAGATGACAGCAAGCTCTCTAACTGAAGCAGATGCATCTACAGTGCCGCACAGTGTGAGCACAACCCAAAGTGCCACGAACTCTAACAGAAAGCCTTATTAAGAAATACACAACACACTTACGTGGGTATAACTGGAATTCCTCTTTGCCGTATCTTACAAATATCCCAAATAGAATTATGATGACCACCTCCAGAAAAACAGCAAGCGCAGGGAATTTGAGCCTCATGTTGGTGGAGAAAGAAGAATTTGTATTGGCCATCCTTGCAGTAGTTTACAAAAGAGTGATAATGAGCAAGAGTCCCCTTGTTTGTCTTTATGTCATATTGCATCATGACATGGCAAAACCTCACCCTTTTCCAAGTGTCAAGCCTACTGAAGGAGGGGCTTCATGTTACAGAGTGCTTCTGGTGGAGAAATTTCCAGCTATTTGTCTTTATTGTGGGATTTATATTCTGCCTTTCAAACAATTTCCTGGTGTTACAGTTTTCTATTGGACAAATACCTGGAAATTATAAATAGATCAGGTTCTTCAGAACATAATTTTATTTCAAGCTACTTTGCCTTGCATCTTGTTAATAATGTAAAAAATGGCAACTAACGAATTCAGGTCTAAAATGATTACACTTTCAGAGCTATTGGATTCTTCACAGTTTTCCATGTGTACTGTATTGCCAAACATATGTTTCCATTGATAAGAGAGAATTAAATTTTTTTTGTCAAGTAAGAAGCAGTACAGAATACCAAAAACCAAAAAAGGGGGGAATTAAAAAATACCCCAGCCATCTCCATAGAGGTTAGATGGGGGACAGGGTAGCTGGTAATGTCAGGATGGGGAGAAGGTGCCATTGTGGATTTTCAAGAGGACATGAGCCCTGAGCATTTCCATGGGTTGTCCATTCACTAGCACAAAGTACAGTGGTACTTCGGCTCATGAACGTAATCCGTTCCACGACTCTGGGCGCAACTCGAATTGGTCACAAGCCAGGTCAAATTTCCCCATAAAGTTCAATGTAAATAAGGTTAATCCGTTCCATAAATATTTTTTAATCACAAAAATTTGAAACAAAGTAACAAAGAACAACAAAGTAACAAAGTACAGTACAGTAGAGAACACTAACCTGGGGAGGTTATTGTTTGGTGGGAAAGTCCCCCTTCATAAGGACATCGGGGGGATATCCTTCAGGGGTTTCCTCTCTTCTTCGTTTCTTAGCTGCAGGGTCAATTTTGGCAAAAAATCTGCATGTTCTGATCACCTTCATTACCGTTCCACATGTTCTGTTTACCACCATGCTTGCTCTGCACTTCTTTGGAGCCATTATTCAATAAGCTTCACAACAAGTGACCACAGGTCTGTCTGCGAACACGAGTAGGGAAGATGCCAGCAATCGCAATCGTGCTGGAGGGGGTGGGATGGCTGTGATTGTGGTCGTCACCCGATGCAGAGTTCGCGACTTGAGGCAAAAATTTTCTGAAATTTCTGTTTGCAACCTGATTCGGTCATGAACTGATGCGTTCATGAGCTGAGGTACCACTGTATACATGTACTGCAAGCGGAGGCCTAAAATCAGGAACTAGCCTGTGTGGTCCATAGTCACTCACACAAAGGTGGTCTAGAGAAAGCATCATTTAGGGGAAAGCAATACTGTACTGGGGGGGGGGGCAAGATGGCCCACCACCTAAGGCGCAAGGACATGCGCCCCTCTGCTCTCCCCGCTCCCCTCTGCCGCTCTCCCAGCTATGCCCCATTCAGAGGGACATTTCCTTAAGAGCAGTGTTGGTGGGGCAGCCACAGAGATTCCCCCATGGTACTCTGGAGAGCCATGCTGGCCGTCTGCTGTGGACTGTCACAGCAAGCGTTGGCCAGTGCCCACCTCTGAGGAGTCCTCTGAGCAAGGCACCAGAAGGGCAGCTGCTTTGGAGAGTCAGGTGGCCAGTTGCCTCAGCAAGAGGAGAGCAGGAAGGGCTCCCCAGAGTAGCGGCGGTAGCAGTGCCCCCCCCCCCCGATTTTGTTCACTGGCACTACCCTCAGCTGCTGAGGTGTGGGGCTCAGGGGAGGGCCAGACCTGAGAGCCCTCCACAGTGGCAGAGGACTCTGGTTCAACCTCTGTCAAAGCGAGGCCTTGGCAGGGAGGCAAATGAAGAGGCTGTCATGAATTCTCTGGGTCTTGGACTGGGACTGAAGTAAACATCGTCTGTGTGCCAAGTTTTCTAAAGCATATGAAGAACTGTTTCCTCTAACTGTTCTAATCAGGAATACAATACAATACTAAAAGTTGACACAGGAGATAAAATCTGTATTGTCCAAACACAGTGCGATTAGCTGCTGACAGGCCACCCTGAATGGAGAACCGGGGCAGACAGAGTGGGCTTAAAGGGTTCATGACCACACGAGACAATGACATTTCATACGCAAAAGCACTTTGCCAGACTTCTGCAAAACAAGAGTGAAGGAGGCCTGGCTTGTCTTTTTATCACACCCGACAACAGGTATGCCAACCCTCCAAGCTGAAGGCCAAATCCAAACCTCCAGGAGTTCCCCCAGGGTCCCCCAGAAGGTCCCTTTTTCCTTCAACCATTTCCCTTTCGTGGCATCTGTGCAGGTTTTTTCCCCAATGTCGAAATGACTTTCCTAAGACTGAGTCACTGGAAGTAAGAACTACAGTGGTACCTCAGCTCATGAATGCCTCAGTTCATGACCAAATTGGGTCGCGAACAAAAATTTCATAAAAATTTTGACTTAGGTCGTGAACTCTGCATTGGGTGGTGGCCGCGATTGTGGCCATCTCCCCTCCCCCCAAGTGGGGAGATGGCCGTGATCGTGCTGGGGGCAGGGGGGAGATGGCCAAGATCACACCTGTCTTTCCTGCAGGAGCGTGCCCATGATTGCGCCCGTCTTTCCTGCACAAGCACAACTGCGATCTCGGCCGTCTCCCCCACAGCACAATTGTGCCCATCTCCCCCCCTCCGAGCACACCCGCATTTGCACCTGTCTCTCCCCACCCAGCGCACCTGTGTTCATGCCTATCTCCCCCACCCATGCACCCACGTTCACACCATCTCTTCCCCCCCCC